TACAACTGACATACCACATAGTTGCACAATTAACTTCCCGAACTTCGAGGGCCAGTATGTCATAGGTTTAGCTACTGTGATTCCTTGCGATCTTGCTATGGCACGAGAAGTGCAAAAACGCATAGTCGCACCGGCCCGCCTGGTGCGTTCCAGCGTGGGTTTAGTAATTATTGTAACTGTTGTCCGTACCAATGTTGTTGTTGTTGTTGTTGTTGTTGTTGTTGTTGTTGTCATTGTTACTTTTATTACTATTGTTATTATTGCATGAAAAAGTTTTTCAGGGTGTTTCACTGCCACCCACGCAGTATGAAATTCACTTCCAGAGAAAGGGATCTGACAAAATTCGGAATATACATAGCATCAGCAATGTACTTCACATCGAGAACGGTGTATTGGATAAAGAAACTGAGTCAGCTGTACAACTTTAATTTAAGCAACTGGTTTCTTGATATCTCAATTTACAGCTGCGTTGCACTGCCGATATGAAGCTGTAACATGTCTTTGGTTTTTAGTTCAAAAAGTGCTCGTTTTAACCTCCAAATGCCACTGTAACAAATTTTTTTTTACATGCGATGCCGAATTTATTTCATGATACGTTAGTAACGCCTCCCTTTTGATTTTCAGAGCCTATTACAACATGTCATAATTCCATATGTTGATGTAGAGTAAGAACGAAACAGCAGGGTGGGAGGATTGATCTTTTTTATCAAAAATAGATTTTTGCGCGATAAATGTATCCTACCATTTCAGTTACGAAGTATCGGTTTCATGGTTTAATCGCTATATGCCAGTGTCTGAGGCTAGCGAGACACAGATGCTTCGGACGGGATATGGCTTCCCGTCATCCCCGCAAGAACCTGCTGCTTTTGCTCTGAGCCCAGATGCTGTGCTGCTTTACTGGAAACTACCTGTGAAACCAAACGCACCAATTCCCGAAATCAAATATATGGTATGGCGAGGTCTTTATTCATTTTTGGTCCTCACAGGAATTTAAAAGGTAGCATTAACTATGTCAAGTGGCTCTAGGCACTGTTTGACAAATGCCGCCGAAGATAACTACGATTATCAGTGTGTGTCTTCGGCACGCATTTAGAGTCGTCATTGTAGTGCAACTGGCATCATATATTTGCTGATCTTTTGTTAAAATTTTAGATCAGCCAGCTAAGCGCAACACTTACCTCGCCGTCAGCGATCGGAGCGCAGCAGTATAACCGTGGTCATTATGATACCACTGCAGTGGATGCTGTTTCCTGTCTCACTAATCCCTGCTCAGCAAAGATCTCGAATCTTCGTCCATCTACTGATTACAAATTCTGGGTAATTCTCAGAAAACTGAACGTCTATTTTCCTAAATGTTCTTTGATAAGCTCCTAAATGATGTCTACGAGTAGAATTAAGTTTTCTTTTTCTCCAATCTTATGTCATAACAGCACGTTTGGGTCGATGGTCGTGATGTGAACTCAGGTTCGAGCGATACATGAAAGTCATTTGAACAAACAGTTTGTTGATGATGCGGAAGCAAGTTCAGTGGAATCATCAGCACGTACAAAGGATGTTGCTGGAACACTGCGCCCAGACAACGTTACTGGGACGTCGATCGTGCTTCGATGGAATTCGCTCGATCCGAAATTTCCGCCCAAACGTATTTCAATTCAGTACCGCATCGTACGTTGTATTTCATTGGTTAATTTCGAAGATTATGAGGGGACTTTAACAATAGAAAATGGCACTGCAACTGTGCTCAGTTCGTCGCACCAGCGAGAAAACAAATTTTTGCAGTTCTTTGATTTGTTTTAAAGGGAAATTAGTACTGTCACATGCAAAGACGTTTGATTCGTCTTTATTTTATCTTTAAAGCAACTTTTGAAACACAGGACTCCCAACAGCTTTGGAACTGATTGTTTTTTGGGAATAGCGTCGCGCGAACTGTATACCTTTCATAGAGAGCAAAATGCGGAGGGATTTTGACGTTTCTGCGGGTTCCAGTGTTTATCGTAAAAAATAATTTGTTCATGACGAAAAGAATCTGAAATTAGGCAAGCATAAACAGTGCACAGTATCCAATTTTAGGATGGCGTGAATGCATTCTGGAAGTCTCCGTACAATGCCTCATTTGAAGGTTCCGCAAAGTCAGTGGCCGTTGTTGTGAGTGCGCTGCGCTCCGCAACTACGTATGATTATCGTTTTGCAGCGGAATACGTGGACAGTTATCGTTATGGGAATCGCGATTACCCTTACAATGAAACATTTTATCAAGTATCGCAACAGATTAGAACAAAACGTCCGCTCCATTTCTTTTTATTGGTTTTTTTCCTCCCATTTCTTTTTATTGGTTTCAAAACGTTCGCCCCACTTCATCTAAAAACAGTGTTCACCTGGAATGATTCATTTAAGCCAATTTGCAGAGCATTATGAATTTAGTTCAAATCTTCCGTAGCGCATCGCTCTGATTTTGTGATTTTACTTTTTTTGATATCATATTTTGCGCTGCGCACTTTGAAATTTTGTCCGGTTCTTCAGCCGGTACACCATCGGCGCCTGCAAGCATACGTCTCGTACAGGAACACAACGAATGGATTGTTCGCTGGGAAAAGCCAGTGAACGACGGTGGATCGTCTATCACTTCATACGCGCTCGAATTTAGGTTATAAATTCCTCCTCCCGCAATTAAATTGTATTTGTGTGTCAGAACTACGAGTTTCTTCTTTTGGTTCATGCACGACTTTTTAGGCCAAATGAGGATGCGGAATGGGAGATAGCGGAGCGCGGGCTTGCGGGCGATTCCCAATGGTGGAAGCCATCGAGAATAAATTTTTTAGCTGATGGTGGTGAGTTTCGAATTCGCGCTGCCAATTCTGAGGGCTTTGGTGCATATGCCTACTCCAAGCATCATGATGGTAAGTTTTTGTTTCTTATCAAACTGAACTTTCTCAGATGTAGCAACATGTTAAATACTGCCTATGTTTAGTACCATCTTCCTCTACTTTTTGCTTGCTGTATAGGCTTCTGTATGTTGCTTGGCGGTTCAGGATTCCGCAACAGATTTCCGCTGAAATAGTTTGGGCTTAGATGACACATCTTCAACCAGTAACCTCTGATATGGGTTATTAATTTTTTATGTAGAGAAGAAACGCGCCAATACAATTCGCACACAGCAGTTCGTTTTCCAATAATAAAATTAACAAATCAACTAAATATATATATATATAGCCGACTAGCCCCGCATATTATAAAAATAGAGTACAGAATAAAGGAAATGATAGATTGAGGGCGAATGTCTTTAAACCGGGGTGAACAAACGTGATGAAAGCATAACGGTCATATAATCTTAAACTACCCTAGAAAAACTGCGACAAAAATTTATGTGTCAAGCTAATCTTCCTAAAGAGAACAACTGTTACAACATAGTAAATATTATTGGAGATTCAGTTTAAAGACAGCAAAGCGATACATCAAATAAAGCTTACTATAAGACAAAATTTTACTCGAAGGCTAAGCCGTACACGAACTCATACAGCAAAAATGCATCTATCAGCCTAGCAATTGCTCTATCAAAAAAATGTATGAAAATGCGGTAAATTTTCACTTTATATTTTTCTGATGCCTAAAATGTAAAATTTTCGAGTGTTTTCGAGTGTCTTCACTGCATGTGCGAGTTGTTACTTTGATGATTGTCTAAGCGGTCGTTTTTGTGCATTTTTGCTGTGCAGCGCTACAGAGCTGCTACACCGAATAAAAACGCATACTGTCGAGAGGTCGTCCATATGTGTGTTCGAAAGCGAATGAACTTTGTCACCCACTTTTAACTCAGTAACCATGACAGCTGGAAGGCTGAAATTTTGAGGGCACATTCCCACCTTATGTGTGTCCTGTCTTGAAGTCATCGCTTATACGCGCCCTACATTTCGCGTACGGATTTCTCCCCCCTCCCCCCCCC